AAGGCGTGACCCAACTTTTTTCAAACCGGGAAAAGAGCATTTCGAACCGGCGTCACCTTTTCAGCTCATCATGATGAGCTGAGAATACAAAGAGCAAGAACTATATTAGTTATGTACAAACCAAGAAAATTGTTTATAAATATTTAGCAAGTTAATTAGAGGCTATAAAAAGTGAATTAATTTTTTTTGTTTTAACGTATGGACAAAGTAAATTGTATTCTAACATTCAACTTGTGACAGATTGGTCCAATTAAATTCACTGCCGTGAGTCTTATAATAATCATTTTAGAAGACTGCAACGGTTGGTGAAGCGCGAGCACACTCTATAATAATACACATTTGAAAAGCACATTGGAGTCCTATAATACTCTTTTTGCTAGCCGGCCAAGACCATTATAGTCTTATAATATTGCAAGCTGGAAACAAATTATTGCATAGAGTTTTATATATAGTTGGACAATAGATGCAATATTATTATGTCTTTCAACTAGGGGTGACAACTCTCGACCCAACCCGTCACCCGACACCGACCCAACCCGAAAATAGACGGTTTGGGTTGAGATTTTTGACCTGCCAACCCGTCAACTCGCCAACCCGTCAACCCGTTTATTTCATGGGTTGGGTTGGGTTACATGTTTGGGCTCATGGGTCAACCCGCCAACCCGTATATATATATATATATATATATATATATATATATATATATATATATATATATATATATATATATACTCTTCTAATAAAACAGTATATTAACTGCCATGTGGCATCACCTTAGTCCCTCGGTCTTGACTTTTCCCGCTCAAATGTTAGAACTAAAATTCCAAATTTGCCCTTCATGTTAGTAATTACTGAAAATTCGAAAAATTTGAAAAATATTTTATAAATCAGTAAATATTTAAATCAGGAAATCAGGACATTTGAAATTTGAATTTTCAATTATGCTATATAATTCTGCAACAAATATGACATGTAAATTTCGGATTCCCAGGTATCTTATTTTAAGTATTTACCTTGAGCTTTAGGGAGGGACTCGGCGAGTAGGCGCTCAGACTCGCCGAGTAGGATCGCGAATTCTTGCCTAGATTAATGAGGGACTCGACGAGTCAATGCGTGGACTCGGCGAGTCCGCGCTGTAAAGTGAAACCCTAAATCTCGAGCCTGAGCCCTATTTAAAGGCCTTTATGGCCTCCATTTGTGGCTACCAGTCCAGAGAGAGATACCCTAGCGATTTTGAGCGAGTTGTGAGAGAGTTTGAGCATTTTTGATCATTTTTGGTGTGATTTTGCAAAGGAGAAAGTGTTTCCAGCAAGGGGAGGTCAAGAGGATTGCATTTCAGTGGGTTTTCGGCTTGGATCTTCAAGTTTGAGGTAGCTATTTGATCCTATCCTTCTGTTTTGCTTAAGGGCATTGAATTTAGGGCTTTCTATACCCTTTTATGGCTTGTTTAGTTGTGTATAGTGTCCCATTGAGTGCTAAACTCTAGATCTGGACCTTTTGAGGTCCAGAGAGCCTGAACCATGCTGCTTTTTGTGGTTCTATGGAGGAAATGGACATAGGTTGCCATGTTAGAAGGTATTTCACCAAAATAGGCCTAGAGTGCCTTGCATGTGTACCAAGATTCGACCTTTACGTGTTTATTGGTCATGAGGAAGTCAGATCTATAGATTAGAGAAGCAGATCTGACCTCAGGAAGTCAGATGAGTGTTTTCATGGGAGGAACTCGCCGAGCCCAAAAGGGACTCGACGAGTCGAGTCGGGTTGCCCCGCGATTCGCGACCTGTGATAACCCGATGAGTGCAGGGTTGACTCAGCGAGTCGAGTGTGGACCAGGGGCGAAGAGAACACGCATGTACTCGTCGAGTCACACGAGTGCACTCGACGAGTCCGGTCAATGTTGACCGTTGACTTTGTTGACTTTTAGGGTTTAGTCAGTGTTTGGACTTATGAGCCATTAGAGGGGTAGAATGGTCTTTTACCCTTCTTAGAGAACTTATAGAGAGGGGTTAGCCTAGCCTTTAGAAGTTGTATTAATTAAAGTAATTATTTATGTGATTAGGCGGAGGCTAGTGCAGTATTTCAGAGTTCGAGGTTTACCTAGTTACCCGAGGTGAGTCTTCTCACTATACTTTACCTAGAGTGGTAATTAGAGTTATGTGATAGAGTATCTTGTATGCTATTATGTGATTGTGATACACTGCATTATTTATATGTGATTCATGTCGTGTATGTTCCAGAGTTACGGAGTTAGAACCGGAAGGTTCACAGAGTTAGGACCAGAGGGTCCACAGAGTTAGGACCAGAGGGTCCACAGAGTTACAGCCTCGAGTGGCTAATATGTGTTATATGTGGTATTTTGGGGAACTCACTAAGCATTTATGCTTACAGTGTTTTGTGTTATGTGTTTCAGGTACCAGTGAGGATCGCGGGAAGGCGCCGGCATGATCAGTACACACTATTAGAGTTTTATACATTTTGATCTTGGGATGTGTTTTTATGGATTTAAGATGTGATACATTGAGATTTGAGAATATTTGTGAATGAAATTATATTTTTAAAAGTGAAAACTTGTTTTGAAAAATTACGGTGTTACATGACAGAAAATAAATGTTAAACTCTATCACTCCATATAAATCAGCAAATCAAATTTCAATCCCAATAAATCAGCAATCGAATATCAATCGGATATATATACATCTTTACATGCGTGTGTACCTTTCTGTTTCACTACGCATAGATCAAACATTATTCATCGGGTAAGGAGACTACATTCTTTACTCTCTGTTTTTCATATATCGTTTGTATACTCATCGATTTATTTATTTATTTATTTATTTTTTGTGTTTGCAGTGTGTTTTTCCTATATCCAGGGTATATACTCATCGACTTTTTAGCTTTGGACTGCATAATCAACAAGGTCAGTTTACTGTTTTTTGTAACCTGTTAACCCTGTTTTTTATAACCTGTTAATCATGTTTTTTCCTATATCTGAATGTTTGATATTATTCATAAATTCAGCAATAGGTACTTTTATTCGTTGCTGATTATAGCAATGTATTTAATTTGCCTAAAAGTATTTAATTGTTTTTTTATAACCTGTTTCATCATGTACATGTATCACGAATTGTTGAATTTCACACTTAAAGTTTATAATCTCTTAACCTTGTGTTTTATAACCTGTTAATCATGTTTTTTCCTATATCTCAATTTGTGATATTATTCCTAAGTTCAGCAATTTGTATTTTTATTCGTTGCTGATTATAGCAATGTATTCGTTGCTGATTATAGCAATGTACTTTATAACCTGTTTCATCATGTTATTTATAACCTCTTTCGTTGAAAAACATATATATGTTTTATTTTTATATGCTAAGTTATTTGCCTAAATAACTTAAACACATGATAAAAATGTACTTTTATTCGTTGCTGATTATATCAATGTACTTTTTGCCTAAAGAACTGTATTTTTGACACTTATATCATGGATTATTCAATTTCACATATAAATATTATACAATGCCTAAATTGAACCCTCCCCCCCCCTCCCCCCCGTCCCATCAACATAATCTTTAATCAATCAATTGCAGAACTGTATTTTGACACTTATATCATGTGTTTCTGTATTTACATATCTCTGTATTTAACTAACTTATTTACCCATAACTCACTTAAACAAATGATAACATTATGTATTTCTATCGATCAAAATCAGTTAAATAGCAATGTACTTTATTTTTTCCTGTTTCAATTTTTTTAAGTATATGTTTTCTTTACGATTTTTCTGTTTATATTTATAAAAAATTTGTTAAATATACAATTTTTTTTTTTATTTTCAAGGTAAAATGGAAGATATTACTCCAATAAAGGAGATTGACTCAATCAAGGACGATTTCACAATTAAGGTTCGCATCATACGTCTTTGGACTCAAAAGTCAAAATTTGATGCAAACGACACATACTCGATTGAAACGATTCTGATGGATGAGGAGGTATAACATGCATATATTCAATTATTATTTTTTTAAAAATTTATTCATATTTGTAAGCAATTATATTTAAATTTTTGTTAATTAATTATTTTTTAGGGAAGGAAAATTCATGCATCTCGTTTTGAAGAGATTGTTTCCTAAATTTCAGCGCTATTTAAAAGAGGATAGTACATTATACGTCAGGAAACCTAACGTCGCACCAAATACTTCAAACTTTAAGTTTGCTGATCTGGATAGAAAACTTACTTTAAATCCCGATACAACTATAAAAGATTGTGAAACCTTTTCTGGTTCTGCACATGGCTTTGCTTTTGTTGACTTCAATACGATTCTTTCTAACAACATCCTGGAGTCAAACTCTATTGGTTGGTTCTTTTAATATTAAGTTTTCTTATATAACATCCTACTTTCTTTCTTTTTATTATAAATTCATAATTATTATTAACTTAATCATATGTTTTGTTGCTTTTGTAGATATTATTGGACACATTTTTGAATATGGGCGTATGGACACTTCGGAACAAGATAATTCAAAACACAAAATGCTCTTGCATCTTCAAGATATAGAGTATTCACCATTATTAGAAACAAATAATATATTTTCTTTTAATTTATCTACATTATTTATTTATTTTTTCAGGGATACTAAGCTTAAGGTAACTTTGTGGGGTCATAATACATACTACATGCATAATTTTATTGCTAACAATAACAACCTTGCTCCAATTATTGTTATTGTTCAATTTACCAAAGTGAAGTTTATTAATGGGTTGTAATTATATTTAACAACCATTTTTAAAAATTTTATATTTATAATTAAATAATTAATTTTATTTTCGCAGGTCGTCCTTTTACATCCACCTACTTTGATGTTAGTAGGTTGTTCATAAACAATGATATCGATGAAAATGCAATCTACAAAAACAAGTATTTTGATTGGAAATTTTCCTTTGTATTATCATATTTATTTATTTCATACTATAATAAATGTAATTCCTTTCTTTGTTATAAATGAACAATGTGGTCTCTGAAAATGGACAACAACTTTCATCAAGTGGAATCAATATGATTGCATCAAAACAAGACACGGAACACGATGACTTTCTGAAAAATCATTTGTTTTCAAACATTGATGATGTGTTTGAACCTTTGGAGGTACTTTGCGTTCTTTTTAAAGTTATTAATTTTATGCACTTTTATTAGTTTTATGCACTTTCACAAAGTAACATATATTAACATTTAGCTTTATTTAAATTTCCAGGAAAAAACGGACATTATTCTTGGTACTGTTAAGGGAATACGTCAAAACATACATTGGTATTACCTCGCTTGTAGCAACTGCAAAAAGTTAGCAAAACAAAAAGAGTCTTCTACCGATAAAGTTGATGGTTCTCATGAAGTGGCCGAAATCGTTACTTATGAATGTGCTAATCCTATATGCAAAAATATCCAAATTTCGGTTATTCCAAGGTATTACATATTCATTTTATTTAATAACAATATATGTTAATCATAATTGTATAATATAATATAAGTTAAAATTTATTTAGAAGCGAAGAAGTTGTTCAAATACACAGCTAAAGAGTTGTATGATAAAAACAAAAAGGTATTATTTCATAGTTCTAAATTACTTCTTTATGTTATACATTATATATTTTTACATACAAATTTTCTAACAATATTTATTTAGATTTTAGCTTGGCATCAGTACCGATTTGTATCCAATGGAGTTGAAAGTTGTGGTAGACAAAAAGTTGGCAATTAAGATTGATACCACAAGTTACAATGTCAATAATAAAAGTAATATTTATGGGATATCAAGGTTAACCGAGAATATAGACATAATTGATGAACTTGAAAAAAAGAATCATATTCCACAGGTTATTTTCAACAATTATATTTACTTTTTACCACATTGACCCAACAATATCCGACTAAATAGCATATTGTTTTGATCTTCTTATGAAACCTGCTAATTCTGATTCATTCATGATTGGTTCTTCAGATATCAATTTCCAAGAGACCAAAGTTGTCAAGGTTGTAGTTTTTTAATTATAATTATGAACTATTATGTTTTAATGTATAAGAACTAACTAAAAATTTTTATAGGATTGTTTTTCACAAACAAGTGGAAATGTAACACCGTATGCTAGGGACAACTCAACTGCAACAAGTCCTACAAAGTTGATTTCTAAAGCAACTGAGTTGAAAAGAAACCTTGCTACATTCATAGATCTTGATGAAATGGAAAATTTGTGAACTTCTAAGTCTGCTCGATTGTCACCACCAGATAAACAACCACCGCCCCCTTTTGGTCCCCAAGAAAGAAAAGTAAATGTATTTTACTTTTACAAACTATTTCAATTCATGGTTAATTTTTTTTCCGCATCATACACTCCTAAGTTGTTTATATTTTTAACTTTGTTGCTTTTGAATGGGTTTTGTTTTGGATTTCATGGTTTTTTATATTTATTTCTTGAACATACATTGAACATACTTAGTTCATGCTTAATTTAGTTCTTGCATAACTCAAGCCATCGACCCATATTCGTATTTAAAGTCATGCATATAACCCCATCACCTATTTTTTGCTAGAGACAATTCATTAGCCCAACGCATATATATATACACCACCTAAATTTTCATGAGATTTGTGATATGCATGGGTTTCAAATTTAATATATGGATAATCAGATGCATAATAGTCTAATGGGGTGCATGAACTTTACCAATCCTAACTGTATTTAAGTGACTTATTTACTCATAAATCACTTAAACTAACGATAACAAATCCAAGTATTTTGTTCATCTTACGTGTTCCAGCACTACACACAAACATATATTAAATATCTTTAAATAGCTTGAAAGTATTCAAAAATCAATGAAAGTGAATAATGGAAATTTTCATAACTGTTTTTACACCAGATATTCACAAAATTGACCATTTTGATGCTTCTAACTAATTCAACCATTTTTATAAGTAAATAAACCTAATGGACATTACATTTACCATCTTCACCTTCTCACCCTATATGCATATGAATTTGCCCAAAATGATAAAAATGTAATATCTTTTATTTTTTTTATAGATGAACACATCTTATGGTCAAAAAACATAGTCAATTAAGTTTGTCAAAAAACAAAAATAAAAAATAAAAAATTCAGTAATAAGTAGACTAATTAGCTCACATTCTCGTTGTTTGATGTTCATCTTGATTCCTAATCACCAAAGAATCCAGTAAAGTTCATAGTATAATGGTGTACATTAACATTACCTATCCTAACTGTATTTAACTAACTTATTTACTCATAAATCTGTTGGGTCTAAAAATATAGTTTGTACTTTACTTTTCTAGGCAATTGTATTTTTCAGTCTAAGACCGAAAACAACCTTGGGTTTACGGCTGGTGTGTTTACGGTTGTGTGGGTGTTCACGGCCGTGAACGTGTGTGCGGCCCATACTAATATATATATATATATATATATATATATATATATATATATATAGGGGTGAAGAGTGGAAAAGGCCTAGAGGAGAGTCACAAGGGAGGAGCATATTGTAGAGAGAAAAACTTAGAGAGAAGAAGAGTGTGTGTGAGAGAATCTTGTGTTGGAGCATCAATCTTATCATCAATACATCATAGATTCATATTTTCTTCTTTTCCTTCTTCTTATTTTGATCTTGCATCATCCACTTAATTGAGATTTCGCACCATCAAGTGGATCTGATTGATACTCAAGCGAAATTTGGGACTTACAATCCGTCAATTTCATGGGTGAAAATATCTAGAACATTAAAATATTCACCGTCAATTCAGAAATTGATAGATTTCAGATTTTGGGTTTCACTTAGAATCATTGTGACAATGACTTCCAAGATCATAAACACAAAAATTTTGGTAACCGTCAGCCGAGTTGTTTTATACTCGAACCTCAAGGGGTACCGGTACGTGGGAATGATTTAATGAAGAAAGTTTAGATATGGGTAAAGAGTAGTTGGATGTTTCACATTAGTCATGGTGAAAATGACCTTTGATCATTAACATTTGATGCAAAGACTCCTATTAAGACTGATATATGTCTCAATATGGAAGAGTCTATCATTCGCATTTGAATCCTCCATCAAATCCTTTCCTTTTTCAAGTTTCTTCTCCTTGCTCAAAAAATTCCGATACAGTCTCCTTGAGTCTCTTCTTCTTAAGAATTCACATTTCAAGACAAATGGAATTTTGAGATAAAAATAAAATAAAACTAAACTTAGCACACAAATAGAAATAACTATGAAATAAAAATAAAAGTAAAATACGCTCAAAAACAATATTTTTGGATTTTTGATTTTTCTGAAAAAGAAATAAAAACAGAAACAAGCATATTTCTGAATTTGTGAATTTTATGATAAAATAAAAACATAAATAAACATATTTTTTGAATTTTATGATTTTTTTTAGTTTTAATTCTCCCCCTTAAATTTGTGCATATGAGAGAAAATATGAACAAATTTCACAAAAACAGAGATAAAATGCAAAATGTACAAAATAGAAACTTTTGGGATCAAAAGTTGTCAGGTAATTTAATATCTTTTATCAGCATACACCTGCATGAGTAGCTCTGGTCAATCACCAATATTGTGATCCATTTAAACACAAAGGATATATGAAAGTTGGATAAATTATAAGTGACAAGACATTGCAACTATATTCCTAAATAAACCATTTAGCTGATGATGACCAAGGATATTGTTGTCCACTTAAATTCATCAGTGAGATCTACAGTCAACCTTTAGTCATTGACCAATTCAATTTTAAGCTCACTAGAACGTGTTCCCCACTTCACGACATACCTTAGTAATCAAGGAATCCCAAAGAACTCTTTACTTTAGGTGAGTGTTCAATTATTTGAGAGAGAAGATAGATATAGAAGAGAATATGTTGTATCCCAGGTCGGTTGTCTTCCAATCACGCAGAGGGAATAAAATATGACTAACATAGACAGAGGGATAGAGAGATAGAAGGTGCATATGCTGTGTCCCAGGTCGGATCTTCTGATCACGTAGAGGGGACAACATGTGACTGACATAGATAGATAAAAAGATGCATAGAGAGAGAGGTGCATAGAAATGGAGATGCATATGTTGCGTCCCAGGTCTGATCTTGCGATCACGCAAAGGGGGCAACACATGACTGACAGAGAGGATAAGAAAGAAAAACAATTTCACACAAACCTACTTTATCAGAACCCCCCAGTCACCCTATCAGCACCAGAATTAAGGACATTAGTCCATACATCGAAGAAGTGTTAAGCCACAGTTTCTAGATGATAAGTAACTTTAATGTATCTTGTAGGCTCCCTTGTTTATCTCACTACTCAATCTATCCAAGCGTCGTATGGTCACTCCAAATGAAACTATCTAAGTCCAGATCAATTAACATTGTCTTGTCCTTTCATTGTCAGTTGTGTCTAGTCCATTAATTTTGAATCCTTCTTTCCTACCAGCACATTTAACACAGAGTCTAAACAATTTAGCTTCAGTGCATTACACACATTTCAAATTTCCCTTTAACACTAAACTTCATATCACTTCCCAAAAGTGTTTACAAAAGAAAACATCTTTTTGAATTTTTGATTTTCTAATTTTTGTTAATTCTTTAATTAACTTTATTTTTTTATTTTTTGATTTCTCCCCTAAATTTGTGCATGGAGAAGAAATAAAATAAATGCGCAAATTTAAACAACCAAAAATAAAAATTTGTCCTTGAAACGAATCATTTGAATAAAACTCAGGAGTATCAAAAGAATTTAAACTGTAATTCAACAATTGAAGACACATCTAGATGACTTGATAACAGCAATCAAATGCAGCAACATATTCATCCTTAGTTGTGTTTCAATTCTGGAACGAAGTAAGCAAACTCAAAAATTCTTCACACCGTTAAGTACGATCCCTATTTGTGATCCTTTCTTCTTCCTTTCCCGCAAAGGACACATACACTCAAAAAAAGTTCTGAAAGTTGCGTGTGACAACCGTCAAAATTGAGTCAAGTCAAAGTCAAACAAAGTCAACAAGTCAAAACCAATCGACTCAATTAACCCTTGTATATTAGGGTTTACACTATGTAATTACTGTACAATGCAATATCTTAATGAGAGAAACATCATTTGGAAAGTTCGTGTGTTGAATTTCCTAAGTAAACATTGAACCAAAACGATAAAACATTATTGCACACTCATCGGGAGTGTGTACGACACTAAAACACGGTTTAACGGGGTTTATGGACCTTGCGTTGCGAAGCCGGACACTCAAAAAGATCACAAACGAAACCTCTCTCAATCTCTTTCACTCAATCTCTCTCTATTAAAATCTCTCCCAAATCTCTCCCGAATCTCTCTCAAAAGTTACTTTAACTTTTTGTAATCATTTGGGTCATCTCGACCCTTAACCGGGTCAGAAACCACTTGAAACGGGGGTAAAAACGGGTTTTAAAATAACCTTAAGGAACCAAAACCCTCCTATTAGAAGCGAAAACTCTCATGAGAAGCCTCTCAGGACCGAAGCCTCTCAGGACCGAAGCCTCTCATGAGAAGCCTCTCAGGACCGAAGCCTCTCATTAGAAGCCTCTCAGGACCGAAGCCTCTCAGGACCGAAGCCTCTCAGGACCGAAGCCTCTCAGGACAGAAGCCTCGCATGAGAAGCCTCTCAGACAGCCCATGCGAGAGGTCTCGCTACGGCCCCTTTTACCGTTTTTTCGACTACGACTTCGTTTTAACTCCGTTTTTCATTATTTTAACGTGGGATTTTCACCCAAAACTTTATTTTATAAACTAAGGCCCCCAAAATATATAAATCTCCAGGGTTTTTTATAAAATATATTAAAAGAATTAGTGGTTGAACTAATTATTGAGGGAATATTTGCTTTTCCTTAATTTATGGCAAAAGCAAACCACCACCACCTCACTCTATGATTAGCCACTCTTTCCCACTACCCCTTGTCACCTTAGTGGACCTTTACACCCAATCTCCAGCTCTTCCCACGTTCTAAGAGCTGGAGAATTGGTCATCTCTCCTCATTCTCATTAACTTCTTTCATTCTACACTTAGCAACCAAAGAAACACTCTCCAAAATTCTCTCATCTTTTCTCTCAACTTCAAGAACTCAAGGCTTTCTCCAGGGATTTCTTTCTTCAATTAGTAAGTATCTTCATCATTCATATAATTATTACACTCCATTCTACTCAAATCATTGATATCTTACACAAATTCC